CAAGTTTCAATTCCCCTGCCATGGGCAGGGAAAGATATCTTTCACTACACCAGGTTTCTCAAAGCCCCATCCAGCCTGGCCTTGAACACTTCTAGGGATGGGTAGTCTATAACTTCTCTGTGCAACCTGGTCCAGTGTCTCACCCTACTCATGATGAGGCAACTCTCCTGTGTCATGTGCCCTGACCCCTCACCCTCCCAAAGACCCTGGGCTGGGCACACACCTCACCTATCTGTGTCCTTCCTGGAATGGGGAGACCAGGAAAGTGCAGAGGTGTGAAGATTCAGGAGGCAAAATACCAAATAGCAGAAGGAAAGAATTTTTAATGCTGTTTTTTCTCTTGTTTATTCTGTTTAAAATTGTTTATTACCCAACCTCATAAAGAATTGCTAATGAAGGAACTAGGAGGGACCCTGGTGCTGAAGGCCAGCCCTTCTTCCTGGCAGAACTGTAGTTTCCTGTTTCTCCAGAGAAACAACTCTCTCTGACTTTCTTGCTTCATCTCTTGCTTTTTTTCATGCACTGCTGTGGAGTGTCTGGCTGGATCTTCAGCCACCCATTTGGAAATCACCTTGTTCTTGGACTGAAAAAACCCAGGGACCTTGATGGTCTTCACTCTCTGGGCCTGGCCATCCAACCTGTTTTTTGTCCACCAAATGGTGCACCCATTCAAGCCATGAGCAGCCAGTTTCTTCGTAAGAATACTGTGGGAAACATTGTCAAAGGCTTTACTAAAGTCCAGGTAAACAACATGCATGGCTTCTCCCTCATCCATTAAGTGGGTTACCTTGTCATGTTGGCTGGACCTGATCTCATGGTTGTCCCGTATGTGCCACGGAATGGCACTCAGGATGGTCTACTCCATGACATTCCCTGGCACTGAGGTCATGCTGACAGACCTGTGGTTCTTTAATCCTTCTTCTGGCCCTTCTTGTAGATGACTGTAACAGTTGCTAACTTCCAGTCAACTGGGACCCACCTAGTTAGCCAAACACCATGTAAATGACTGAATGGTGATGCATTTGGCCTAAATACGGCTGTTTTGGGAGCCAGGGGCCTGTGACCTGAAAGATGCTCTACTGTGGAAGAAGGAGGAAGGCTGGGAGGAGAAGATGCTGAGGGCCCATTTCCTAGGGATCACTCCTTTCTGCCTTTCTGCTGCCCCTTAGTCACAGGGACTGCTCTCCACCTCCAGCTTTTTCCTCATCCCATGCCTGGGCTACCCTGAACAAGATAGTCACAACAGTGTTCCAGAGAGGTCCTCAGTGAATCCACACCAGCCTGGCTCTCTGCAAGTGACACAGCCCCTTGTGCTTAGCAGTGTCTCAGAAGAGAATTTTAAAAGTAGGTAGTGGTACAAAGTAATCCTTGAAAAAGAGGTGTGAGGGTTGGGGTTTTTTGCTTTAAAATAGATCAGATTAGTGAGTCAAATGAGAACTCGGCAGAATTTCAGTTGTAAAATAAGAGAGAATGAAAAGTTTATTCTGATACTGTGCAAACCTCAGCCTATAAGTTAATATCATGGAACTGGGTTTCAAACATCTCTCACTTAGCAGTTATTTTGCATATGGAATTTGCAAATGAATCTAGGAAACAAGGAACTTAAGGATGCCCTTAAGCATTCCCATAGTCATTACTTGTAACTACAGAAATCATGAGACAGTTATATTTGTCCTCTGAAAAGTATGAGGGTTATGCATCATATGCATTAGATAAATTTAGTTTGAGGTTGCTGACAAACAAGATGTAAGGATGAAAGTCAGAGTGCTTGAAAACACAGGTTTGCATTAATGGTATAAATACATGTTTAAATTAAAACATTCCAGCTAGCATGTCAGTCTACCTAATTAATCTTTGCAACTTCTGCCAGGGCTTGTATGCTTTGGAGTATTCTACTTATGTGCAACTATCTTGTCAATAAAATTGGTTAGTAGAGCCATCAATTGCAGTAAGTTTCAGCTATTTCTTTTCTGTAGTTCAAGATCATATCAATTTCTCAAGATGTTTCTGTTCACGGATACTAAGGACAGCAGTGGTAATATGGGTGAAGATCTGAATTTCTTCTTCAGTCCTGAAACTTTTTGAATAATGATTCTGGATCTAGAAACCTTTCTCGTATCCATAATCTTCTGAAACACAGAAGTCTTCATATATTTTATACCAGGAGGTATAGTAAATATGGGAGATGCTTTCAAAATATATTATATTTTGCTTGCTATGGCATTTATGTAATGAAAAAAAGAGTATTCAGAATTGGGAATTGCCCTCTCCTTTTCCTTTAAGGAAAGATTTCAGGGAAGTATCTTGTATCTCCATAATACTCACCTTTAAAGAAATTCAGCACCTGTGCCAATCTTTTATTTCTATCAAAATAATAACTTAATGACTTCCTTGTGTTTGTATTTAATTGAAAGTAATTTAAATTATTAGTAGTGGCTTTATTTAGCCATTGTAAGTCATAGGAAGAAATTAGTCAACAACTCACTTTAACTGGGTCTACTGTTATCACACTCATTTAATTGTATTTACTGGATCTAAGCCTAGGTTTAACCCAAGTTAACAATAAAACAGATTAGTCCCTTGGCTATATTTAATATATTACTATATTAAAGTAAGTACACCTGAAAAACAGAAATAATCCACTTGTCCAGAGATATTTAAAGACAAGAAATTAATACTGAAAGACTGTCTAAAATATTTGCTGTGTTCCTAAATTTGTCTCTCCTCCCAAGATGATCCATTGAACTGAGAGGACAGTTTGTCAACACAGTAATTAAGTAAAGAAAATAGAGCAGTAGACAAGCACAAATTGTAGTGCAAAGGTACTTCAAAGGCATTTATGAGGCGCATTTAAATGATTAGCAGCATAACGCAGTAAATGCTCAGTTGTAGTGAACTGATGGGTGAGAGACTGTGGAGACTTGCCGAGAGTTTCCACAGGTAGATCAAGTAATTCCAGCTTCTGTGGCTCACAATGTTAGTCCCATAGTTACACATCAAAGTACCGCTTAGCTTTTTGAAAGTATTTTATGGATGTGTCAAAAAGGCAATGCAGGGAGACACTTTTGTTATTCTACAAGAGAATTTTTTGGCGATCATTCAGTGCAGAAATTATTGGCTGCCATACTAATTCTGTGGGCGTGATGGCACGCAATTTACAGAGTATGCATGAGGAAGCCTTTACGTTTAATCTAGTGAGAAGAGATCTAGTTCTGCCTTTTGAGTATTGTGCTGATGTATCTAGACAGAATCAAGGATGTATATCCATTTTTTTTCCATATAATATAATGTTTCTCAGTTCATAACCCTATAAACCTACTGTTAATTAATTGAAAAAAAAATAGTGTAGTCTAATTGCCTGTGTTAGGATTTGGGTTCATATGCATGTGTTGACTGCTTTGTGCTCATCTGAAATGCAGCTTTAATCCAGTGCTATAGTTTTGAACAGTGCCTACCCTCATGAGGTTCCATTTCACTATCTTTTCTTGGATACTTCTTTCATGGTAAGATATGCAGGCATCCCCAGAAATGCCAAGGCACTGGACAGAATTCAAAAAAATTTATTTAGAAGGCCAGAACACCAAAACCTAACAGCATGGTTTGCCCACTGGGCCTCAGGGAGGGAAAGGTGAGTTCCTGCCTCTCAGGTCTCCTTCTGTCCTCTCTGTTTCTCCCTCACCTTCCCAAGGCCTCTGTGTATGTCTGTTAGGGCTGTCTCCTCTCACATATCAGAGAGGCTGAGAACTTCTCTTGCTATGCGGAGGAGGGGAGTGGAAGGGAAGAAAGCATTGAAACTGCCTTTGAGAGAGAGTTACCATTTAGGCAGAAAGCCTTCCTAGCAAAAAACAAATCCTTGAGTTTCTGTTAAAAATTCTTGTGAGGTTGTATCCATCCCTACACTTCTGCAAGAGATAAAATCTCTTAATACCCGACTGTGCTGAGTTCTTTGTACTGGTCTGGTTAACTGCCTCTGAAATTTAAAATAAAGACAGAAATAACAGTTGACTTTATAAATCTTCATCTCTAGTTATGATCTGTGTTGCTTATGGTTTTCTGGTTTTGATATTTTGTACAACTTTTAATAATAGAAGGAATTCCCAGCTGGAGCATTTAGAAATAATAATGAAACTTCAAACTCATGCCACTAACTGAAAGGTAAAAAGAACATTGTAAGGATGTTATCTCATACTTCAAACATTCCTAAGAAACTCAGAGATAAGGCTACCCTGAAAAATTTGTAATAACCAGAGGAAAAAAAGAAGAAAATCTACTCAGAAGGTAACCTTAACTGCTTTAAGACAACCTTATCTCTTTCCCTCAGTGGCTAAACCAAGAAGAAAGAGAAAGAAGCATAAATTAGAAAAAATTGTATTTGAACATATCTGTGGGCAAAACCCAATGTCTGTGTTCAAATTATAAACATGGAAGGGTTTCATTTTAACTATATTCATGTGTCTATGACTTATTATGAACAAAAATAAGAAAGGAAGGTCAGAAAGGGTCTGAGAAGGTATGAGTTCTTTGAACAATGAGTATTGAGGCAATTGCACAAACAGCAAATCTCTCCAAAACATGTTCTGCTGAAGCATCTTCACAGAATTACAGAATCATTAGGGTTGGAAGGGACCTCTGGAGATCATCTAGTCCAACACTCCTGCAAGGCAGGGTCACTTGGAGCAGGTTACACAGCAACACAATTAGGTGGGTTTTGAATATCTCTGGAGAAGGAGACTCCATGATATTCCTTGGCAGCCCGTTCCAGCGCTCTGTCACCCTCAATGTAATGAAGGTTTTCCTCATATTGAGCTGGAATTTCTTGTGGTTTAGTTTATGACCAGTGCTCTGTCGTGGTGCGGGTTGGGAATGGGACGACAACAGCACAAAGGATTCAGACAAGGTGGAAGGTCTGGAGCTATCGCACTTTATTGAGGGAAAATGCTGGCTTAAATAGGGTTCAGGGTGGAAAGCACTGAAATGGTAGGTGGAGCATGGGATTGACAGGAAGTTGAACAAATCAGGGAAAACAGGAGGGAACACTTCAGGAACAAGGACCAATTGTGCAGGACTCCACACTGCAGCTGAATCCTACCAATCAGAATGAGGGTACAGCAACAAGGGAGCAAACAAATCTGGACATGTCCAACTACAAGTAAAACTGGGGTACATAATTAGAAAAACATGCATTAACAATTCTTATGTACTATAGTAACCAAGTTCTTTTCTGTTACGCATACTAAATGCTGCTGGTATTCTTTAGTGTCCTCCCTAATGATTCCCATAGAGTTCGCATCATCTCTGAAACCATTTCCAGTCATCTTCCTCATCCTCCACAGTGCTCCTCCTCCTGGTGGGGGGCACCACCAAAAAGAGTCTGACACCATTGCCCTGGCACCCACCTCTGAGATATTATTTATATGTATTGATGAGATTCCCTGTTAGTCTTCTCTTCTCTAGACTAAGCAGGTCCAGCTCTCATAGTCTCTACTCATAAGAGAGATGCTACAGATCCCTAATCATCATTCTGACCCTCCCCTGTACCCTCTCCAGTAGCTCCTTGTCTTTCTTGTATTGAGAAGCCCAGAACTGGACACAGTACTAGTAATGTGGCCTCACTAAGGCCAACTAAAGAGGAAGGATCACCTCCCTCAACCTGCTGGCCACACTTTCTGATGCAGCCAAACTGGAGAATTCTCGTTGTTCTTGGAACAAGGATTAAATCTGGGTCTGCTCCAAATTGAAGAGAGTTGCAGAGAATTGACAGAAAGTTGCAAATGGAGGTTCTCAAACAGTACTGTAAATAGGAGCTGGTAACGTCCATGACTTCAGGATTAATTTGGTTGCAGAATTCAGTTGAAATCCTATAATTAAAATAATGTGAATATATGTGAAATTGCAACAACTAAAGCAAAATTTTTGTTTTTATCAGTTGTACTAATACTTTCGTATTCTTTCAGTACACAAAAGAATGTGAAAAAAAAAAAGTTGTATCAAAGGTTGACTTCATAAGGATAAAATATTCTCCTTCAGGATTCAGGTTGAGACTTCCAGTTGGAGTATATCTTCTGCCGGATTTTGAAAGCCAGCTTCACACTTTAGAAATAAACTGGGGGAAAACATTAAAGAACCAACATGAGATAAATATCAGCACCTGGTCATGAGGTCAAAAAGCAATAACGAACCTGATAATCGACGGAATAAAATGACAGCAAAAGCTCTTTGTCTTTCAATGTCTTCCAGCTTCAAATTCCAATAAAAGTAGAAATAATTTGAAGTCACTACAAGTGACTTAGTGAGCCACTACTCACTAATATGCCTTTTTTGGTATAGGTTTTAATGACCTCTCATCTTAGCTTTTTGTTGGAGACATATGGACCTGCCTGATTTTTTTTTTTCACAGACCTTGATTTCATTTGTTTCAGGGGTGGTGCTATTATGGATCTTTCTGGAGCATTCTTTAAGCTTACAGAAATATATTTAATTAATGAGTACTGTAATCAGGGGTGACAGTATGAGTCATAATGTGCATGTCGATAGGGGCAGTTCCTTTTCTATGAAATAACTTTTTATTTCATAACTCACAATGGTATAACCCTCCTGACACTGGGCCTTGTGCTCAAAGTTGGGACTTCTGATTTAGCTTAATTTTCTCAGTTTGGCTTTTCCAGCCTCTACTGTAAATTATGTATAGAATAGAAAAATGAGCATTATACTCATGCAAACTTCAGGTGCTCAAAGCTTATAAGCCATCTTCACTTAAAGATCATGAAACTGATCTCACTAAAATTCAGAAAGTTGACATGATCTACAATTAAAAAAGTCAAAGAGAAAAAACTTCCCATTTTCTGGGTTGTTTGCTTTTTCTCAAACCAATTTAAGAGGTTACAGCTCTCTCACCTTTTGTACTTGAACAGGTGGTTAATTTTAACTCAGCAATTGCTTGAATGGACCCAACACTCACTTCTATGGTGAAAACCTCCCTGGCCTATCCTAGAAGATCAGGTTAAGAAGAGGGGTCATTATTTAGATGGTCTTCCCCAAGTGTATAAAATTCCTTATGTCAGGTGTTCTGTCATGTCAATTCTGTAGTTCTTTATATCTGTTATATCTCTATATCTATTTCCAAAGCCTAGCCAAAATACATAACACTTCCAAGATCCTTTATGCTTCTGTCCAATTTTTGTTTATTCAGGTGTATCTTATGCTGAAAAAAAGACTGAGCAAGTTGCCAAAGATATCTGACTGGAACAAAAAGAAAATCATGAATGGGGTACCAAAAGTGGAAATCTTCACTGTGATGTTGTGTGACTGTTGTAAGTAAATCTCCTTTCTCTTCCCCCAACTTGTGATAGCTGCCCTTCCCCATTTCCAGTTTACAGTGCAGCTTGATAAGCAGACCTGAGATCATCACGTCCCTATAAAGTTTCTTGTGAGTATCTACCTCTTTTGATTTCACTGCTCTTAAAAAAAACATAACATGAATTGGCTGAAATCTTGAAAGATGACAACTTAACGGAGAGTCTCTTGTGGCTGTGCTCTCTGCAATGGTTTCAGCGTAAAGTAGCTGGAAATCCAACACAACCCTTCAGCAGTTCTTCTGTAATGCATAAGAATGGTAAAGGGTAATTAATCAATGAGTGTTGACAGAAGAAATATGGCTTAAAAGATTTCTGCTCAGTTGCTCCTATATATCTAGAGTTTATAGAAATATGATATGCTTTTTCAATACATTTCTACTGAAGATTTTAATCAAGAAAGATTATTGGAAATTTTCAAGAAAAAGTATGATAAAATAGAAATGCCATCTCATTAGTTTTAGGTAAACTGACTAGAATGTTCCCCAAACCCCAGTAACTATTAAATCGGAAAAAGCAAAGTTCAGTTTCAACAACAATTTCTATGTTATGGAAAGGCAGTTTTGGAAGTCAAATATGTTTGAAAATGAGCTTAGTCTAATTTGTAGTCAAAAACCGTAAAGTAGTCCAATGATATTGTGATACTGTATAAAACACATAAAAATTATATGTAAATATAAGTAAAAAAGCACTTTGGAGTTGAGTACTTGTGTGATCTACACTCAGTTGTCATAATCTCTTGTTATAGGTTTTGTAATAGATGCCTGTCACAGTGACTCTAATTTGCCTCATACTTCAAATACTTCATTGTAAGGGTACAAAATTACCACTGGGCATAATAAATAATACTGAAAATAATGTGAATATATTTTAAATGCAAATTCAAGTACTCGTTTATTGTGATAGGTATTCTATTTTTCTTATTCCATGCAAGGTTTTAAATGTAAAAATTGGTGGTATTATGCTATGATGTATAAATATTCTGATCAGTCACTATAAATTATAATACTTTAGAAATTATTCATTATAAAACTCCCATGGTAAAAAATTACTCAAAATGTTACCAGCTGTTCCATTTTGAAAACACCTTAGGTATTCAGACTTCCAATTCAGCCTATGGTATTTCATCTGCTCAGGATTTTTTGAAAAATCTTCCCATTTTGCATCCTTCAAAAAGGTAAAATATACTGAGTTAAAGTAAGAAAGCACAGTCAAAATAAGAGCAATATTTGTGTAAAAGTTGTAATAATTTTGAGGGTTTAATTGCTTTTAGAGCTATCATCTAGCTCAATAAGGGAGCTTCTTCTAGTTATTTTGATAGAAGGAGCTACAAAGCAACAACTGAACAAAGAAAGAAGTGTTACCTTTCAAATTATTACCTGGAGAGACAGGATAAGAGCAAGAAAACATTTGGTAAGATAAACTGATGAAACACAACATGCTTTTTTTTCCTCCCTAACTTCAGTGATAAAGAGCTTTCTGAAATCAGACTAGCAAATGAAATACATTTAAATGCATTATTTGCTTCTAACAGTTTTTCCAGCTCAATTCACATACCGTATAAGTCACTCTCATGGTTTACTTGAGGCAATTTGCAATTATTAGAATCAAAATGTAATACAATAGTTTTTGAGCTTACTCATTGTCTGTAGTGCTGTCAGAAAAATTGCTAATTTGAGAGGCCATACTCTCTTCTACTAATCTGGACTCTTCATTGAATTCAAAATGTGGGATTTTTCTTTGAAGTTTCTAGGTAGTATGTAAATGTTACTAAATATTTTCTCAAGCATTTTTTTAAATAAAACTTTGTGACTCTCTTTAGGGTTATCCTCACAGAGACATAGAGGGGTACTTAAATCATTTTAAATTTTAATGATTAGAAAGTCTTATGAGACGACTGAATGAGGTGAATTTGGGTAGAAAATCTTAGATAGTGTATGAAGCTTAACAAGAAAAAAAATGTGGGGAAAAGGAGAGATTAAGATTTACTTTCATTTTGTTTTTGCAGGGGAGAAGGGATAAAAGAGGTGACTTTTAAAGCATTTCCATCAGTATTAATCAATACGTATTAACTGTTATTTGTAAAATGGAGAAAAAACTACACATTAAGCAGAAAATATCTAAAATATACTCCCCCCCGCAAAGAAAAATTAGGTATTGTTTTTCAACTGACACTGGTTGTACCCACCATGAAAAGTTCTTTTTTATTAGTGTTAAGGAAAACCTGTTCAAAGGCCCAGATAGAAGAGGTGCTGTTAGGTAACAAAGAAATCAGTGGATCAATACGATAAATATAAAACCTTGATTTGGTTATTTCTGTTTTCTTTTTTTTTTCATTTTTTGCCATCTAGTAGGAGCCTTGAGAACTATTAGGAAAAAAAAGGCAAACAAACAAAAGAAAAGTTGGAAGTTAGAATGGGTGATTGGACTTTTAAGGAACATTTCAGTAGCTGTCAGCTTTTATGCCTCTAAACAGCAATTCAACATAAAGAACTATGTAAAATGAGTAGCTGTTTTGTGTAGATACAGTCAGTCATAAGTGACAATAAACTCTTATTCGTTGACTCTGCTACTAGCTACATTAACAACTATTTAGATTAAAGATTTTGTTTACAACTGCATACTGCTGAAGAAGAAATATGAATGGATGATTTTAGAAATTGGGGTGGTGGGGAGAAGTAAAAAAAAAAAAAACCAAAACCATGGAGTTGTACGCATATTTGTTTTGAAGGAACATGCCTTTCCACAGAAGCTGTTAAGTGAGTTTGCCATTATAGTATGGAAATAAATCGATGAAAAATCTCATGAGCAATCATATCAAGAAATTTTTGACCAGACAAATGGAAAAGTTGCTCCTTCAAGTCTGAAGTTAAAGAGTGTGTGACTTTTTTTTGTAATGTTGACCACTGAACAGTAAATCTTGAGAGCTGTTCTTCAAAAGAGAAAATTTTTTTCTACCTTCCTGATTTTGCTTTTGTATCTAGTGTTACAACACTTTGGTAAAGTGATTTAAAAAAAAACACTTCAAGGTTATTATGGAATCCTTATTTCTCCTCTTTGTCTCCTAAATAAAGTATGTTTCTGATACATTTTTCTGCTATTTATCATAGTCTTATACAATACAGGAAAAATCCTGATATTAATCTAAAAGCAGCAGTACACAATTCAACCTGCGTGATGACCTCTATTAAAAATATCTCTTCAGGATAAAATAGTATTTCTCAATTTGGTTGGACTGTATGCTCTTAAGTGGTCACTTCCAATCTAAATAATTCTATGACACTGTGATTCATGCTTTCTGGACTCAGTTTTCAAGATTTTCTTTGCTTTTGTTTTGTTCTCCACTTCCACTGTCCCACTCCCAAACTATGTCTGACTAAGATGGTCAAAATTTGTTCCTTCATTTTTGGAAAAAAATGGAAAAAATGTGAGTTTATATAAACCTGGCAAATGATATAACTCAAAATTATACTAACTGTGGTTGTAAATTTGATTTTAGGATTTTTCACAATTATTGCTGACTGAGGAGAAATATGATTAAACCATCACTATGCAGAATATGTTTTAACTGTATTTGCCCTCAAGAACTATTGAACCACAGTTACATACTAATTGCTTATTTTGCAAAATGAGCTACAAAACACTAATGAATATGCTTTGAGATATTTACATGAATAACTAAAGCTAAACTCATCCTATTAATTAGCAAAGTCAGTTTCATGATGTATGTTCCAGCATCTCTTACTCTTTGTGTTCGTCAGTCAGTTTGCAAGTATCAGTTATTTTTTTTTATTTTACAGCTAAGAGTTTAGTTGAAATCTTTTGTCTTTTCATAGGCAATAAGAAACTGAATTTGGTTTCTGGACCTGAAATACAAAATAATGAATATGTATGAAATATTACATTTATTAACTGTTATGGCTTATGACAGTGGAAGGAATGTCAACATTGCCAGTTTAATTATTCAGACTTTGAATTTGACTATATTTCTATGTCTTCAAGTTAAGATGCTTGAAATGTTCCAAAACATTAGAAACCCTAAAGAGAAAAGGTGTTTTCCCCTTGTAGGATACCCTAGTAGCATTCATTGCATATGATACATTTCATGCATAATTTCCTAAAATAAATCTGTGCATACCTTCATCAATAACATATGCAAAACATTCTCAGGGAATATTATTCAGTGAAGTACTATGCCTAAAGCTGTTTGTGTTATTTATTTTTTCCTTATTATGGAATTCAAAGGAAAAGCAGTAGATGTAGTAGAAAAGGGTAGAAAAATTAGCCAATTGAATATTTGTTATCTTTTTTTTTGGCATCTGTCTGTCTCTCACAAGGGATCTTCAATGTACAGTCAAGCTTATGAATAGCTTCGTAGGCTATGGTACATTAAACTGGAAAACCTTTTTGCTATTTTTTCTCTTAATGCAAGATAAAAAGCAGTTAAGTTGAGCTGAATTCAAATAGGATTCTGCTTGGAGTTATCATCAGAAAAATCAATATTTCATTTGATGAAGTTGTTAGCCAGCCTAGCAACCTGAAAATACCATGAAAGTCCATGTTTCATTTTTAATTCCTATTCTTTGGTTGCTATCAAATCCACTAGTCTTGTCATTTTCATTTTGGATAGAAACAGTAATCATAAAAGCTCTATGAGGCCTTTCAGGCGGCTAAACAACAGGATACAGATCAGAGCAAAGCACTGACTCCTCTGTCAGAGGGTACTCTCTTGACTCACTTCAAACTTTTTAATAATTCTAAAAGTGAAACTGCAACATCCTGTTGTTACTATGACATTCACTTTATAATCTGCTCTCAGTTGGAGGAAAAATATCCTGTGTGTAAGGCAAGTAATCCTCTAACTAGGAAATCTGGAAAAAGTAAGCATAAAGTAATTTGTATGTTTTCCCTGTGCAAAGCCCTTCACTGTGAAGTCACAGGTTGTAGCATGTCTATTTTTTCCTCCCCCTTTGTATTAAAAATCATAAACTGAAAGTTCATGATCTACAAACTCTTCTTCTGAGTTAAATATGGCTACAATATTAGAGCATAAATGTTATCTTTCCTCTGAGGAAAAAATCAGTAGTTTTCAGTCAGTGTTGCATATACTGTTGTAACGGTATATCTGTTATGTGATGAACTAGGATAAGGCAATCATAGTAATTTGACATAGATCATCAAACTTTTCAAATATTAGAACTTATTCCCAGTTGTAGTAGGATAAATAATATATAAAATGAGCCAGAACATAAGAGAAGTCATACAATGCCTTTAATTTCCCCTTCCCTCTAGGTTTCAAACTCCTCTTTAATTAGAATTTTCTATCTACTACCAGTAGATTGAAATAATAAACAATATTTTACTATAATGATCAAAATGCCCATCACCACTTTCCAGTTTTACTGAATTACTTCTGCCTGGTGCATTTGCATTTATTAGGCACCACAGTCTAAGCTGGGAGAGCTCCTCCAAAATGTGTGTTCTCAGAGATGTTAGCAAAACTGAAGAGTGTGTGGGAAGAGAGCAGTGTTTAATGATGCAGTCCCACAGTCCTTTTGACTCTGTAGGAGGTGCTTATGGAAGTAGCCAAAACAAGTCTCTGCAGCTACATATGATTTTTTATCCCTTTTGCATAATTTTTGACAGATAGCAAAAACGTGTCACCGCTGTTTGCAGGGGGTGCATAACATTTAGTGGATATAGAACCTAAGGTAGCAAGAGCTGCTGCTCTGCTTTATTTCCATTGCAAATTTCGCGTAACGGTTTGGAAATGTCACATTACACACTGTCTCTTTCAAATGCCTTCTGTTCTATAATATAATAGTTATCTCTTTGTTTACATTTTAGAAAGCTTGGTGTTTAGAAACTGAGGATCAGCTACTCATTTTGTGATAAATTATCAAGGCTCCTGGAGTTAGGGCAGCTTAGTCCGGCTGAGATCTACCCTGAAGAACATAGAAAAGGAATCTGATATATAAGCTTTGTAAGAAGACTGCTATTTGACCTTTATCATAGCAAAACATTAGTAATTCACATTATGGTTGTCTGTGACCCTTCCAATCAGAAGGCATTTGATATTTCAGAGACAATTAGGGTCCAATGTAAGGCAAAAAGTTGCATAACAAAAGTACTAAAAGATATTTTCTCTAAGCAGTGGTATTCTGATT